ACCGGCTACAGAAAACTACATTCAAGTTTTAAATACAAAGTCTACAGCCGTACTGAATGGGTATACGTTCTTACAGCTACGCCTTAACGGGGAGGAGTGCATAGGAGACCACAATCATTTTACTGCTGGAATGCTTAAGAAACACCAAATACAGAGGGACCCGTGGATAAAGAGGAAAAAAAATAATTATTTTTCAGATAGAATAACCTCTCTGTGCAAGGAAATGATTTTTCAATGATTTCTATCAAAACATGGAAAATCTGGCATCCTAACAGAAAAGTGAGTGGGATTTTTTTCCCCCCTGTCATCTCCTTCCATGGGAAGAGCAACAAGAAAATACTGTATGCAAAAAGGTAAAGCAAGCATGTGAAAGGGGATATACCACAGTGGTACATTCATCTTTTTGCCCAGTATTGCCTTTCTGGAGCTGTCCCTGTTTTAAAAACGTGCTTCTGTGCAAGCAAGACCTTGATGGCTCTCAGGCTGCACAAACAAGTGGCATAAACTCTAACTTAGGAAAAAGCATGCACCTGTGAATGGGCAGAGGGTAGTTTACAGAACTGACTCTCAAAATACTTTCGGTGTACTAAGTAATCAGAATAATGCACTCGGTCATTTGGACAGTGTAAAAATACAACATCCTTAGAACTTGCACATCATTTGTAATTCTATCAAACCATTCTTTTATAGACATTGTGTCACTTGAGATTTTCATGATGAAGCAGCAGAGTTAACATCCAGGCTTCAAAACAGATGGCTGCAGAAAAGCACCGAAGTCCCGGAAACATCACAGCCAACCCTATCCTTAGTCTAGTTTTCACCTTTCTTTCTTCAGTGCTACAAAGTTTTGCTCCGTCCAAGAGAACTCATAATTTGGACAACATTTGTGTACTGAGGGCATACTGCAAAACACGAGAAACTTCCTCTTGTGTGGGGGTTTGCTGACAGCAGTTGGAAGGTCTGGTTGCATTTTCTAGAACTGTTTCAGCTCAGTATAAAAACAGATAAAACATAAAACCCCAGAGTGAAAAATGCAGTATTAATACAGGTCCTCTAACGCACTGACATGAGAAGCCACAAAAGGTAAAACGCAGAGCTGCTGAAACCAGTGGGAGGACAGCCACTGATTTCAGTGACTTCTTGGATTAGGTCCCAATTGGAAAGGAGGCTGAAGTCCACAATGTGCTAAAGAACAACCAAAACAGGCATTCAGACTGCAACATCTGCAGCTTCTGAAAGCAAAGACAGACTTCTACCAGCTAACACCTTCACCCAACTTTATGGGAACAAATTCCACCATGTCTAATATAATTCAGTGGTGTAATTCAGTATGATAACTGTACTGACATTAACATGAAATATGAAACCTTATGAACAATCAAAACAATGCAGAACACTAAGGAGATGCCACAGACACCAACATGCAACAAAAGTAAATTACGCCTCTGAAATCAAGGTACATTAGAATATACGTTGAGCTTATGGACATCTGTCTTTCCAAGAGACTTTTGGAACATATGATCTAACTTTGGCTGGGAAAAATATAAAAAAAAAAAAAAAATCTTTCAATGGGCTATCTAGGAAATCACTAAAAATCCACGTGAAAGCTGATTTTAAACAGTGTCACACATCTACGTCTCTGTACCTCACCAATTATGACCTATTTATTTCATACCTACAGACAAACATGAACTGGAACGAAGCTTTTCAATATCAGGTACAGAGTAGATGTTAACCCAAAAAAAAGCCTTACTGTCTACTATTCTAGATTTATACTGTAATAAAAATCAAAGTTTCCTAATGTTACTGAGCAGATTAGCACTTGAGAACTTGATATGGAATCCAGATCTTCAGCACCCTGGCGATAATCATACTTCGTACTATTACTGAGTGCTAAGCCTTGTGAATTACAGAGGCTCCAGAGCACTGAGCTGGCCCGTGTCTGATAGGACTAAGCCCTCAATACATTTCATGTAACTTAATGGAATTTTTGCTGATGAGCAACATACTAACACATGTATTGCACCTGACCAGGAAAAAGGGAAAAAAAAAAAAAAAAAAAAAACCCAACAAAACACACAAAAGCTTTAATGGAAGTAAACAGGGCATCCTGGCGTCCCTAAAAGGATTGGGAACAAGGCTCCAGTATCAGGAGTGAAACACCTACTCCCTGAACCATTAAAACTGCACAGCTCCTGACAAGAAGTAATACAGCCTGTGGGTCATACATGTTATTAGTCCCTTAGCATAAATAGACTGACACTGCTTCCCAGGCAGGTGGGATTTGGGAATGCAGCACATTGATCTGCAGAGCTACAAGGAAGAAGCTTTTCTGTCTACAGAAAGTTGTCCGGCAAAATTTGTCCCAGATTCTTGTGGCTAAGAAGGAAAATACCGGTGGAGATTTGAAATAAGCGTCTCAAACATTTTCCAGCAGCATGGACTGAAATAGAAATGATGCCATTAAGCTTTACATTACAGCCAATCACACCACATACTGCCTGTCATGTAGGCTGCAAAAGACAAATCTGTAGAAAAACCTGTGTCTAAAGTGTATACTATACATAGTCATATCTTACAGCATCCCATCTGTACACCGGGAATTTTACTTTAAGATCTACTAAAACATCCACTGCTGCTAAATATTGCAGATTAGGAAGTATATTATAATTTCAGATAGCTATTTAACTTACTTGAAATTACTACTTACAGGTGATATTCCTAAGTTTCTTATTATTCAGACTATATGGACTCTTTAAATGGGCAGAATCTGCTTTTTCCTAGCACAATAACACCACACACGAAGCAACAAGTGGTTTGTAACATTGTTCTGCTCGGAAAAAGAATCTACTGGACAATTCTAAAATGCTATTAACTTTGCAGCAATAATCACCCAGATTTGATGCATTATTATACATTCGATGAAAAATTATAAATATTTGAAGTGCCTTATTAAAATTTAACATGTCAGAAAGTTTAATTTTACCACAGGTTACACAATTTTTTTACCCAATTTTGCTTATCTTAGCCAACCTGGAGAAAAAAAAAATATTCATTTCCAGTCTATATTTAAATAGCAGGTTAGCATAATGCCATGGCTGTTAGGATTATTAAAACCTCACACTGATGCTATGTTGCCTAAAATTCTGTTTGAGTTGTCCACAGGGCAGACAGAGCATAAAGAACTGCATTTGCTGGCTTTGGGCTTCAGGTGATTACTATCTAGGTATTAAGTAACTTGACAAATACGTATCTAGAGACACCATTTATGCATGCTCATTGTCAGAGTGGAGCTCGCTACTGAATAAAGCAAATTGTGTTGCTGCCCTTGGAACACAGCTAGAGACTATGCTCATCATTACCTTACAACAGTGTGCAGTAAAACTCCTAGGTTTTCTTGTGCATATTTTAGTTTAGGCAACAGGTATACATACACATCTTTGCTGATTATATAAAGAATACTGCTTCCCGATATAAATGACTGACTGTCCTAAATGTACGGTAGCTGCATTTACATATAAAATTATATATATTCAGCTAAGGGCTAGTGGCAAAGACATCAAAAGAAAAAGTAACAAACAGCCTTCCTAGGCTTCCTAGGTTTGTTCTACTCAAACTCCATTGGCTCAATATTTACTTTCATGTCTCAAATTTCAAGTCTTGATATCAAAATACTAGAAATCTCACATCATGTCCAGAGAATTAAGTTTATTTTTCATGAAAGGTTCCACATACTTACTTAAAAGTATAGTCGCCACACAGAAAACTTCATTTAAGAGACAAAAGGAAAACAGCCTAATGTTAAAAGTTTGGTCCTCCAGGATATATACCTATTGTGACTGACCTGCAGTCACTAGCATAAAGGCTAGCTTGGTGTAAAAGTTTGCACTGTGAAAGAGCTTGCAAAAGAGCAGGAGTTACCACGTCTTGTTATTAATGGCCTACCTCTAACCAGGGTCAGCATAGCAACAAGAGAATCGGTTAAGTTACAGACCCACAAACAGAAGGACAGCCAAGTCAGTCCTTACATGATTTCCCTTCCAAACAGTCCCAGAAAATGCAATCCAGACCTTCTTGTCAGAGGCACATTCTTTATGGCAACAGGGAGACAGATGACAGTAGGCAGACACTAAATACAGCAAAGCTGGTCTTATCATCCTGCCACCCAGTCTGCAATGCACACAGCTTTGCTCTGCTACCTTATGGTACGAATCACAGACAAACTTTGTACTGGCTAACAGGTACTGTTTTTATACTGAGCTAGCAGATACTCCTTTTTATAAACATTTTCTTCGGCTGCTGAGGTATACATACTGTAGAACATAAAACAACTCATACTTTCCCCCAGCTACCACAATCTAAAGCTACAATGGAGTGGCCGTTTTATCCAAACTATCTAACACAACACATATAATTCATTCTGTTAAAGTAAAAAAAAAAAGACTTGCACTACAAGGATCAGGTTCTTTTTCTTCTTGACACTTAAGACTTCTGGGAATCTGACTGCTGGAAACGGTTTAGCTTCTCTGGATTATTTGATGCCATTTGAGAAAAGTCACGGAAAATGTCCTGATAAATTTCATCTCCTAGGTAGAAAAAGAAAAGGGAAAGGGTTTTAAACATTTGTGTTAGTTAACATCACCCACCATTACACAAATGCCCTACTGTGCTACCAATTACTGCGTAAGTTATTCATGTTTAAAGATTGCTTAAAGATGGAATGATGCTGATGTGAACTCTTTGGGACTGTTTACTTGCATGCATCCAGTAGAAGCAAATTAAACAAAGCCAAACAATACCTGAAATTGTACCTCACAGGCAGCCACACAGAGGAAATTTCAGAGTTAGAAAGGAAAAAATTAAAGCATTTTAAAGCAACATAAAAAGAAAAATGTTTATCAGCTATTAAAGAATAAAATCCTTCTTTTTGCAAGGAGATGCTAACCAAGATTCTCTTCAGAAAAGTTGAATTATAGCATAATTTGTAATGTAAATAAGATTTACTTGGAAGCAGAGGTCAGAAGTCTTACAGACAGAACCCTCTATGAAGGAAACAAATCAGCAAGCAACAGTATAAAAAATAAAAAGCAATCCTAAGCATAGAAATTATTGTTCCTATCTCCTTTTGGTCTATTACTTCAGCAAATATAGATTTTTACATGCATTACTGAACATTCATTACATCTTTTAGTTTTATCTAAAAGAGTGATGATACTTTCCTTAAACGTCTTTACCCTTTGTGCTTAAACACAACTTGACTACCACGGCATATCCCAAAATGAGGGATGGCAGCAATTTCCACCAGGCCTGTCTCCCTCCCCCTCCCTGTCTACACAGGAAAACACATTCAGAAATTACTTCTTGAGCCAGTGCCAACTCATTCTTTTGCCACTTTAAAAAGGACATTTTTACATTCATCTGCTGCAGCATTTTGGGCCTTGCGTTCAGGTTTCATTTTAAAATATTAACCATACGCTATTGCCCCTCAAAGGGAATTAAATGCATAAAACATTTGGTCACGTCAGGAACTATGCAGCTATCCAAATTCTACTGTCTTCCCAACGCAGATAACCACAGAGGACACAAGATTCCAGCACTACCGTTTCTTGCTGACAGCTTGATCAATAGCATGACAAAGAAAGCTTAGAAATCTCTCTCATCATGTATTTGAACATGAAGATTTTATCTGCTCCTCCCCCCACGTGACTGCAGAAGAGAAGTATTATTCCACCACTTTTTTCCCAAATGGCAATTATAAAAATTATATTTTTGTGTTTAAAAGTTTGCACTACAGTGAAAAGCTACACTGTTCAGGTTTTTTCATCTTTTAATGCACATTTCCAATAATAGAACTATTATTCTTTCTGAGATGAGATTCATTCATTTGAAAACACTTTCAGAAATGATAACTGACCTTTCAGAAATATTAATGTGCAGTGGCATGTGGATTTGTATCAAAGTGTAATGACACAATTCTTCCCAGACTTCAAAAGAAAAAATTCATTCCTTGCTGCTTTACTAGGAAAAGGCAGTTCTAGTGAAACTCCCTTTTGGTTTTTCAGATTTAGTTTCAAGTATGTTCTAGAGATGAAGCAGGCAGAGGACATGTTTTATTGTAACAGTTTCTGAAAACTGCTTGCACTGGGAGATAAGCGCAAAACAGAGTTGTAACATTCAACAAGAGAACAGCTATGAAGAGCACAAATCATAATCAAGCTTGCATGATAAAAGCAATTATGCTTTTAATACAGAAGTGGGTTCCACTGGTGAACTACTACTGTAGGTCAAGTTGCCATATTTGGTTCTTTCAAATTAAGTTGAAAGAAAAAGCAAAAGCTACTTCTGCAAGATACACTGTGTCTCTGGTTTTAGCTCTATTACATAACAAAAATATTACATACAAAAATAGACTAAAATAAAGTGCCCCTTCAGTTTGTATGCTGCATTAAAATACTTAATACTGTAAACCTTATAATTATTTTAAAATCCTACTTTAAAATTGAAATCTGGAAATTCCCTTTCTGAGCAATGTTTTCCCCAAAGTGCAGATTTTATGTACAAAAATACTATAACACTGCTTTACCATGTAACACCAGAGTAACTCAAAAGGCACACATCATACATTCAAGAAAAGATAGGAAGAAAAAGTAGCAATACCAATATCAAATAGTTAGCAGACATACCGTAGCACCAGAAGATGAGCACTCCAGTATTATAGAAGAAACAATACAATGGTGCATATGGCTTCTACCACCAGAAATGAACTTTTTTGTGGAACAAGCTGGTTTCAGCTAGCTCCCATTCTAGGAATATTTTGGAAGACCAACTGTACCTTGCAAAGCAATATATACACAGTCTCTCAGTAGCTCACACCAGATGGGTATATTTAAATCAGATATGTTGATGCCATTACCTACATTAGTAATTGTTTCTCAACTGCTTTATTAAACTGGAGAAATAGGCAGTTGGCTTCACTCAGATGACAGCAAACTCATACATTGATATTACCCTTACATAACTTTCAGCAAACATACAATTGCCTTGAAAAATCCTTATTTTCATCTAGAATCATAATTTTGGAAAAGAGGAGTTCTAAAATAAGGGCAGTGCAATTAACATGTATATGCAGTGAAGAGATCTGCCTCCTCTATGACCACGTAAAGGTATCATACCTTACAAGAGCAGAGACAGGTTTTGTGCTTATGCTTACACATTGACACAACCCTTCAATAGCAGGCTAGCAGACATTAACCTTTAAAATGCTCAAATATTTACTTCAACCTTCAAAAGAGACTTCAGCAAGTAAAGAATCGAGCAGAAGAAGGGATATGCTGTTCAAAGACACAGCAAGATGTCCTGGCTGGAACAGTGCTAGAGCTTGTGGCCTGAATGTAACAATTATTCTAATGATACCCTCTCTTCCTGATTTTGGGCAAGCTTCACCCATTGTGGCAGCTGTATTAGCCTTTGTCAATCTTGCCTGTTTAGAAGGATCAGATACTATCTGTGAAATAGCTGGGTAAGATTGTGTCAGCTGCAGTCTCTAGATTCTACGGTAATACAAACTGACAAAAAGTTAATGAACTTTTGAGTAACAGACTTATCTGGGTTTTTATTTCCCCTACCTAATTGAAGAATCTGTCTAAAAAACATCTTAAGCAAGATGTCAGGGAAAAGAGTCTCCACCACCTCCAGTTTAAACACATTCATATTTTCATACAAGTAGTGTCTGTGTTTGTTAAGAATGAAACATTTTACTAAATATTTGTAATGTTTAACCACCAACTAAGGCTTTTTGTACAGACTATGGTAACACATTTTCTGATTTATAATAATTTTGGATTCATGACAGGTCAATTAAGATATCTAAAATATTGATTTATGATTTAGCACAGAGCTTTTGAATCAAAATACCTACCTCCCTTAAAACAAACGCATCTTACTATTTGAAACTAATAGTTATCAGTTCTACCTCTTAAAATAAAAACAAGGAGACTCAAAAATACTTCCATATTTGTAATGTTCAGCCTGTCAGTGCAGTAGTATACATTTTATCACAAAATAGCTTTGCATTCACAATGGCCAAACTGGGAAAAGCCTCTTTCATATACATAGCCTGCTGCACTTTTGAGTGTGGAATCTTTCCTCATTTAAGCTCATAAACAAGTGTATACTTTTAAATTATCTGTTGCTTTGTCAAAGAAAGCATTTGAATGTCTGAGCATCTATAGAACTTTTACTGTTTTAATTTGCATTTCCTAGATGATCTGTTTAAAAATAAATTTGAAAAACATCTATTCTTGAGAAACTAAATAATTTTGGTTTACTTAATAGAGTTCATCTGGGATATCGACATGACACTCAGTGTTGCCCCTTGAGATTACTCCAGCCCCAATCCTTGTGAATCGATGGGAAATACATAAGGGCTTTATAGGAGTGAGCCAAGAGTACTGAGCATTCAATCTTAAAAATAAGGTTTGCCTTTCACTACTTCCAGGTACAGCAGTGTATTTTTAGCTGTCTAACTTAAAAGTTAAGTGTGCTTTCATTACTGACGTTTGTAGGAGATGAAATTAGGTTCCTATAGAAGCATACTGCAATGGAATAAATGGTTTGCTTAAATATCGCACCAGAACATAGTGTAAATCGGGACTGGGTGCCTGAGAATACAGTTGCACATATCCATTAAATATAGTTTGTTACTTTCTTGTAACTGTCTGCCAATTTTATTTTTTTTTTTATCACATGGTAAGATACTACGCATACAAAAATACATACTTAAGACTGACTGTTTTGTTTCTTATTTGTATCTTAAGAAAAAATATTTAAAAATAAAATCTGAGGAAATAATACTTTCCTATTTCTGTTTGGAGTTGTTTTGAAATATTTGATGCACATTTTTACATTGGTGTGCAAGCATTTTTTTTCTTAAAAAAAGAAAAAGAGGAGCATTCCTCAGGAAGGAAAATGGTATCCTGTAATAAGATGAACTCCTCAACTGTCTCCGAGCAACCTGGGTCAGAAGGCTGCTACTGAATAATGTCAGGTAAATCCTAACATGACATGAGTTTCAACGGAACATCAATAGGAGAAAACTGTAGACAACTACCAGCAAACGGGTTGGTAATGGCTGTAGTAAGATACACTACTATAATAATGTACTTTAAACACTCTCCTTTTAGGTCCCCTAAATGCTCTGACAAAGTCACACCATCAAATTTCAATGAAGCGCTAACATGTGTCAGTTGTTTATAAAAAACATTACTGTATGAAGCTATTTGAAATTTGCCTTAGATCCTAAGAATCTAATTGTAAACTGATAAATTCCTGAATACACTTCTTATACTGCATTTCAGTATGGTTATTAGTAGAGTATTGACCTGGCTGTCCATAGAGTCCTTCTGATTCACGCATTTCTTCATTCATCCTTGCTAAACGCAACCTGTGATTCAGAAAACAGAGAACAGTGTCATATTTGAAGCACTAAGAGATTGCAATTCAGGACCTACAATGCACTTCTACAATGCACCAGTGAAGCCATCTATGGATGCTTCACTCTCTTTGATATTTCTTTTGCTCTGCCTGTTTTTATGTAAAGGAATTCTGACATTTCTTATATTTGTAAAGTTGAAACATAATAAGAAAGCCTAGTTACAGAGTCAAAACCAGAAGGTACAACTTACAATGTTACAATATCTGCATTTGCAGCTTCTACTGCTATACTCAATGGATCCTTCCCATCTTCATCAGTGGCATGCTGGTTTGCTCCTCGTTTTAGGAATAAACACACTTGTCTGTTTAGAAAAAGCATTTAAGAATAATTTCCACAACAAAAAAAGGAAGAAAAGCAAATAAATTCAAGCTGGATGCAACATATTTGGCTTAAATCACGCAAGTAAACATAGCAAAACAGCGCTGTTCATCTAGAACAACTAAGATGTTAAGACAGTAGTACGCAAAACCTTTACTTATTTAATCCACGTAAGAAAGAGCCTAACTCAAACCATGCTATCATGGCAAGGAGCTGAACGCTTCAGCAGCAAGACTCTACCCTCCTGTATCACCTCAGGTTGCAGAACCAAAAAGTCTTATTCTTTTTACCACGACAGACAAGAACCACAGAGCAGGATAAATCAATACATGAAAGAATACAGTTCACAGATGCCCAATTTACCCAATAGAAACGGATTTAGTTTTTCTCTGCTGTTATAAATCTCCATCTTTACAAACAGGGCAAACTGAACAAGCTTACCTCTTCAACTATCCCAAGTTGTTGTACTGTACTTAGAATTTATGCATGCAGTTTGGGCACTACCAACCAGATTGTTATGTCCTCATTTAAGCTGAGCCTGTTACAGGGTTTCAGTTAAAAGCCATAATACCAAAACTCAAGATGTAATGCAGTACATTTTGAAATGAGATAGTCTCAATGCAACACACAAGTGGGATGAGCCAGCAAAAGCTGGGGCTGTCACACACCATTTCTCCTATTTGTATCATATTTCTTAAGAAACCAAGAAAAAAAAAAAAATCTCATGAGTCTTCACCAGAAGTTCACACTATTTCAAAGCATTATCAAATATATGTTTTTTTAAATTAGACCAGAGCGTGTTTAAAAGGTGTGCTTTGCTAGCCGTGGGACTGCTTATTCAAATGTTATTTCCTCTCTCTTCACAAAAGTTAAGAAAAACCTAGATCACCTGAAATATACTAAAATTGCAGAATATTTGGGGAAATGAAGACACTTCACATTAACAACTATAGTAAAGGACGGCCATGTACAAATCCTGGAGCAGTAAGTTACCCAGTGTGTCCTAGAACTGTGGCGTGGTGCAGAGGTCCCCTTCCCTTCATGTCCCTGATGTTCACATTGGCCCCATTCTGCAGCAAAAATTCACAAGTAACCAATGAACCCTATGGAATAAAAGCAAAGAAATAATTCAGCACCATATCTCTAGAATAAGCGCCAAACCTGCTCTGCCTTCTCACCACTGAGTCATGTGCCAAAGGAAACAAAAGGAATTTGCTTCCATATCAAATTTAAACACTGTTAGGTTATATAATTCCAAACAGAGCATTAAAAGGAACAAAAGAGTTCAGAAACAACTTCGAGAGTACACTGTAAAGGCAACTTCAGCATCCCATTATCATTCATTAGCGAAGCTGGCAGTTCAAAAGAAACAGCAACACAAAAATATCACTGTTATTCCACTTCTCCTCCTCCCACATCAGTTGGTGCTGTACATCACATACCCCTCGCACTGCCTGAATGAGTGGTGTTGCTTTGTTTTCTTCTACATTGACCCAGTTTACTTCAGCTCCATGAGCCAATGCTTCTGCCATATCAGGAAGATTCTTCTCAAAGGCAGCTTGATACAGCTGCAATCCTGGACTAGGCTGTTTGGAGTCACAGAGCACAGAAGACTCTTGCTTGTCTCCTTCTGGAGGGGAAAAAAAACAACCCACCATGCTTATCCAGTCTCTGTTTTTATAAGGTACCTCCTGGAATTCTTAGCAAAAATGTAATTTCTCTGGTGTAAGGTAGCTCAGGTTTTGCACAACACTGTGCATGGTTGCCTCATGCTGCCAGGGCAAGTCACAGATGCCTTTAGCTTGTTCCAGCATTCAGGCATAGCCACTTCACAGAATTATTACTGGCCAGAAAACACTATCTCTTACAGTACTGGCATGCATGAATATTCTTCAATCTACATATTCCATATCATTTTTAAGAAATGATTTCATGTTAGCAGTGTAGTTTACCCTATACAGCAAGATATGAATAGAACTAATTTCCGGCTGAGCTAGTCATACAAATATACCTTCATCTGCAACAGCTGGATAGACTTGAGTATGAGGCTAATACTGTTCTGACCTGATTTTTGTGAAGAGATAGTAGCATTGTCATTTACAATTACTTGTACAGCTATAATCTTTTGGACAAAAGCATAATCTTTCTATCATCTTGGTAAGTTATACCCAATGAAGTCCGGGAGATAAAGACCTTGTCATATATAAGCTTTCATGAGCTACAGCATCCTAAGTGTTTCTACAATGCAGTCAAAAAAAGATCCAAGCCTCATGCTGCTTGCCTACAAACCACAACTGTGAACTACTGGATTTAAAAACATACCTCAGAAGAGTGCTTTGATGTAGAAGAGTAAGTTTGCTTTACAAATAAATGTTTTGGGTATTTTGACAAACCATACTCAATACCTCTGTCAGACGTGGATGCTAATATTAGATAACAAATAATTTCATCAATTTTATAAAACATTAAGTAAAGAGGGAATAATACTTAAAAGACATGGTTGATTCCACATAAGCAGAAAACAGAACAATTAAGCAAGAATATTCAAACAACACATAAAAGCCTGTTACCTGTGACTCAAGAGCAACTCTATCTCCAAGGATTTAACTATTTATAAAAGGATTATGCATTTCTGTGGAAGCTTGTCTATCAAAATGCAGCATTGCTCTGTCTGCGAAAAACATAGTTCTGGCTCAGTATCATCTGACTGGAAAAATAACTCTCTGAAATCATTTAGAAGGATTCAAAGTCATTGTTGCTACCAAGCCCAGAGGACAGAAAGGTCACTCAAGCAATTATTACCATTGTTAAAAATGTTTCAGCCCACCAGGTAGAAGAGACATGAACTGTATTACCAAGTGCTAGTCTCTTTTACAAGAGCATGCTACCAAGAAGTGATTAGATTTTTATCTTAAAGTACAAAGCTCAATGCACCTGGTTCATACAAGCTGTTGGCTGATATAGTAGAGGCAAGGTGTTCTCTGCTGTCATCAACACTCTGCTGGATCCCACTGTCACTGCTTTGCACTGTTTTGGGGAGAAATTGGGATTACTATGCAGACTGCAAGTTACCTGCTCCTCACAGATACCATGATAATAAAGCAAGCTCTTATACTTGGTCCTGAACACGTAGGGGATTTTTTAATGACTAGTAATTATTCGATAGTACATCCATAGAAACATGTTAAGTCACATATTGCAACCATAATGTTTGTAATAATAATGTCAAAGATTATTAGAAAGGAAAAGATCAGGATAAGTAAAAAAGCTTAAATTATTTCATGAAAACACTAAGCAATGCAGTAGCCTGGAGGCAATAGATTCAAGGCAGGGAGATGGCCACAACACACAATGGATCACTAGTGCGAATACTGAACACGCCACAGCTGTAGTACTTACTACTACGTAGTTTTGAAGAGGTATCAAAGTAGGAGAAGAGTGAATCTAGTTCATCAGGACAGAACAGAGACTCCCGCCTCGCCTCGTCGCTACTTACAGCAACCGCTGGGACATGCAAGTTAGCAAAGCACAAAGCAGGCAGTAAGGAGGGGATAGGGCAGGAAAGAACGTTATTGGAAATAATAAGAAGAATGAAAATATGGAGGAAAGAAGGTGGTTAATATGTTTCTGAATAAGCATCCCCACTCCAAACTTTTCCCCACCTAAAAATGCACATGTCTGAATAAACCTTTTCTTCCCCATACTTCTGAACTAGGCTATGACCTATTTTAAGTTAGATTCTGGTTTCTCTGCAGGAGGCAGGAAATCAATTAATACAAAAACATGTTACTTTTAAAAAGAATGTGGGTAATATAGCTAAGGAGAGAATTGTGTAAATACCTTTTTGGGATGCCACAACCTGTTCCCCTGCCAAAAGGGATTTTTCAGGGCCACTGTGCCTTTTCTCTTCTTTACTTTGAGGCAAAACTTTTGTTCCAGATTCAAGCAGAGATACTGATGCAGGCTGCTTGTCCACAAACTTTCTTTCCACGTATTTTGCTCTGATGTATGCCTCCTTCTCCTGCCTGTCATATAGAAAAACACTGGAGTTCATAACGTAATATTTTAGTATTTTCACGTATTAAAACAATGTCCACTTCATACTAAAGCTAGTAACGAAAACTGTAGTTTGGCATTGTACATAAGACAAAGCACTTTTTCAGAAAGAAGCACGCTGTATAACTCCTTCTGGATTCTTGATTAAATTTTGCATAAGGCTCAAAAGAAAGCAGTTTTGTTAAGTTGATATACATTGGTTTTGTTCTGGGTTTTTTTTTAGGCAGAGACTTTATAAAGTGCTACGTGGAAGAAATAAGCATTAATTACTGTATGTTATTTCTCAGTATTAACCCTTTATACATGTTTTACATCGTTAATAAGCAATTAATACAGCATACAGTTTCTTAGGTAAATATAAATTGCAACATTTGTTAAAGGAACATTAAGATTGCACAAGAGAACAATAACAATAACAATCCTGTTCCAGCCACCTGTTCTGTAATGCATACTGAAATATTTTTTCTTGTAACCCGAGGTTATTATCTTAAAAACACACACACCAGCTGTGACAAACCGATGAAAGGGGGGGGCTATACAAGTCTTACTATAGAAACTGCTGATAAGCAGTTACCCCTAGAAGGAATACATAGCAGATCTCCTACACTATTTATATTATCATTGTCTCCTAATTGCAAACACTTTATAAGCTGCTGTTTTCTATACCACAAAACTGCCTGATACGAAGAAGCACAAAACTGGAAAGCTGGTAAAAAAACAAAGTTTTAAAAGAAATCTTATGCAGCAGAACAAAACATTAGGAAACCACCTTCAAACACAAATTAGCATCAGAGAGAACAGGAAGACAGCAGTACAATCATTAGAAGGTTGATGTAAAGCAGCAGCACTCATGTACAACGTAGACAGAAACAGAGAGCATTCTGGGGATCAGGGAACAGAAGTTAAACTCGGGACACTGTAAACAAAAGGTACAGCCACAGGCTCCTTCCAGGAGCACTCACAGACCAAGTACAGCTGGCTGAGATGGCACAAAGCAGACAGAAAACAAAAGCAACATGCCTACATTGGTGAGACAGAAATGGATGCTAGAGAGTTGTCATCAAAAGGAGAGAGTGAGATCAGAAAAAAACCAACACATGAACAGAAACATAAACAGAACATGAAGCAGAAAGGGATGAACAGAAGGAATATCCAGTAAAGACAGAAAGTGAGAAAAAGGGGGAGAACAAAACATACTGCTGATAGGGGGAAAACAAAGAGTAAATCACAGTTAACAGTTAAACACAGTTAACTGACAGTGTCTTTTAAAGCTGGATGCTCAATGAGGCAACATGAGAAGGAAGAGGCACTGCTAGTAAATTCCTACCTTTGGCTTCCATGTTGTGGCTTCTTTACTCCCACTTTCTCCAACTTGGCTTCATAAATTCTATTTATAACATCATTTCCCAATTCACACATAAGCTATGAAACAAAATAAATAAATTCAAATACAGTTGCAAAAGGCTTCATCTACTTATTTAGTTGTTTTTAACCTCACTCAGCCTATTTTTACAACTTAATATTTTCATTGGTAAAAGTACACTTACAAAACTAAGCATGGGTTTACATCATGATAATGAAACAATCAGTGAATAGAGAGAGCCTAAATTCTGAATAAGACAGCAAAACAACATGGTCACTTTAAAGTGCCATTCCCTTCTGAAAAAGGACTGCAAAAATTACCATCTGTCGCTGAAGATTCTTTTTTGTGCAATCAGAATGACATCTTCAGGCCTCATTAACAAAGGTACTCTTTTCCACCAGCTTTGCCAGTACCTATTCTTACCCCATCAACAAGAGACAATTCAATCAATTCTATTCCATCTTGTCCCACAGATGTTTTTGCTAAAGCATTGTCCTGGGTTCAGCTACAGCAG